CTCCTCAGGTTGCCAGGAGCCAGGGCTGGGCTCCCTGTAGCAGCCTTTGCACCTCCTCCTCCCCTGCCACTGCTGATCCCCGCTTGTCAGATAAGAGGACGACGTGTTTCGGGATGCTGAGCTGAAGCTGAACCTTTTCCAGCGGTGCCCTTAGATGCCAGGTAGCTGCACGGTCCAGGGAGAGTTTCCGTTGTGATCCAGGGATGGTGTGGCAGTGCACATGTGGCCCTGCATCCTTGTGCTAAAGAGCTTCCCATATAAAAGCAAGTGATTTGTAGTCATTTGCAGTACGAGCACTGTGCCGCTGCCACAGAAGCCTTCTTCCCTGTCCATCACTGGGCCCCCTGGATGCTGCTGGTCTTGCTCATGTTAGTACTGTCTCTGTTAGGGCATGTTACGGTCAATGGCATAAGGAAGCTGATAAAATGTGGTGTGTGCGCCACATTTGGGGATCGGGGAATGCGGATAACAAGGGTCACTTGGTGGGTCCCACTGTGAGGGTCTCAGCTTCTAAGTCCCCACATTTCTTTCTGCCTCTCCCCCAGGACTGCAGCGCTGGGGGGATTTGCTATGTGTGGGGGAAGGAGCAGGCAAATCACTGCACCACTCTGTGCATAGCAGGATGCCACCTGCTGTCGTGGGCCACGCTGCAAGCTAGCGAGGGGTGCTGGGGCATCAGACGGGCACAGAGCATGGCCGCTCTCTGGGCGCAGGTGCTGGGCAGCAAACCTGGGCAGCCTGGTGGGGCTTGCTCTGCGTTTTCTAAGAGTTAGCCTTGGCTTGAAAACAAACTTGTAAACTCTGGCCGTTTCGGTGGGAAATGCAAGAGCACCTGGGAATAGCTGCTTGGAGGCGGGGATGCAGTGAAACCTTGAAAGCAGAGGTTTAAGCTGGCCTGTCCCTGGCTTTACGCCATGGTGGCTTGCTGATGCAATGCAGCCTGGCTCCTCAAAAATGGTCTCAGGCAGCCAAGGGGCCATGGAGTTCATGGAGAAATTATGGAGATGCTCATGTCTCTGCTGGGCTTTCCACACACAGCTGTCTCACGAGCTAAGAAGCATCTTTTGGATTATGGGGCATCTTGCAAGGGGCATTTGTGCCTCCATCCAGGTCCTTTACCCGTGAGAGATCAGCTCTGGGTGCCCGTCCTGGCTGCCAGAATTGCCCGTCCACCCTCTCCTCAGAGGTGGTGACATCAACGTCTCGTGCGAGGGATGGGTGCTATGGAGGGGGAGACGAGGCCGTCTCTCTCTGAGCCTCCTTCCAGATGCAGATCCAAGGAAATGAGTTTCTCTTGCTGGACTAATGGGGACCAAAACAGGAGAAGCTGGGTGACACAAGGTACCCTGGCCTCGGTATGGGGATGATCAGGCTGGGGAATAGAAATGCTTCTGCTGACCTTAATGCAACTGATCTCAATTGTTTTAATGCCTTGTTATTTTTGAGATAACTTTTCCGTGTATCATTGGAGTGCTTTTTCTTCCTGAGTGACTGGGGCAGCCAGCTGTATAATAATCAGGGCTTGTGCTTGAGAAGCCCTTCAAATAAAGCCACTCGCAGGAACATCAGCCTGCCTGCCTGCCTCTCAACCCATCTGTACATGTGTGTGGGAGTGAGGAGCTGAGGAAGGGGGGGCAGGAGTGGCACTTTGATATTCACCCTTCACAGGGCAGTGCTTTTGAAGAGCCGCTCTGGCATTTAGGAGCTCTAGGCTCATTTCAGGCATGCAGTGTACGTACTCCATCTCTCTTTCCTTAATATCGCTCTGAATCAGTCCAGAGGGATGCAGTACATTTATTTCTTTGGAGAGCCCCTCAGGTAGGTGTGAGCTTTCTCTTCAGATTGTTAGAACACGTTAAAGACCTTTCTGCATGCTTTTCCACATGGCATTGCCTCTTTTTTATCCACCCTTGGTAGTGATTTCTGCTCCCTTAACGCACAGTGCTGTAAGGTTATACCTATTTGTGGAAAACTTGGGCGTATTTCTAGCCAGGGCCAGAGCAACACAAACCGCATGGAAAAGCCAAAGCTGAAATCCAGACTTCCATCTTTTGATAACTGTGGCTCCTCTTGGACCTTCTCCTAAAGGCTGTAGAGGGCGAGATACTTGGTTATCCTGGGTTAAGTAGATGCTAAAACTTACCTTCTGCTTATGAGTTTCATATGCAGCATGAGAAAGGCCCAGAGGGATCACAGGGTGAAGCGATGGCAGGGGCTGCCTGCTCAGCTATGGTAGTAGAAGACAGTATGATATTGCCTGTGGATTGATGGCGTCCTTGAGAAAGCATCACAGCAGTGCAGAGGTCTGTGCCTGACGGTGCCGTGGTTGGACGCTTGGATGCCGCGGGTGATTTTTCACCTCCTTTGCTCAGCCCAAAGGCACTGAGGAACTCAGTGGGAAAGTTATTGTCTGTCTTGCAGGAGGGAGGACCCTGGGCTTGTATTGAGTCTGTCTTTAGTGATCTGTCCCCTTCCTACCTGGTCTTTCATAAAAGCCCTGGTGTGAACGAGTTCGATGTCCCCTGGGCAGAGCCATGGTGTGAGCTGTGTCCTCGGGCTGTGCCTGGCGATTTGGTACCAACAACGCCTGCCCGACCTGTCCCAAGCACCTCCCCAGCGGGACAGGGGCTGGGTCCCTGGTCTCCGGGTGCACAGAGGCGAGGGATCTGCTGGCAAGGTGCCGTGCCAGGTGCCAGGGGTGGGAGCAGGTCCCCTGGCTGTGCTCCTGCTTGCTGCACGTACGTGCTCCCCAGTGCACTCGTTAGCTGAGCTGGCTTGGCCAGAGGCATTGCTAATTGCAGCTGGAAGTCCCATCCTTCTCCCTGGACGGTGCCTTTCCCGCTCCTGTGCTGTGCGGGAGGGGACCATCCCCAGGCCAGGGCTGCAGGAGCTGGATCCTCACCCACCTGCACCCATCCCCACCCTGCCGCCTGCTTGCCCCATGGCTGCCCAGCTGCTGGGCTGGACGGTGTCCAGAGGTGAAGAGGAGTCCCGGCATCTGTAGTGGGAAGCGTACAGAGAGCCCTTTCCTGCAAGCACTTGTGCTCCCACCGCCAAGCCGGGCCAGCTGGCTGCGGGGCCGGGGGAATTCAGCCCCGCTGCTGCGCCGGCCCATC